GGCCAACGCCGAACTGCCGAATTCACGAGCGTCTCGAGACACCTCAGAGCGTGGAATTCACCGCTCAATCACCCCAATTTTGATTGGTGCGGACACACCCCTCGAAGGTGCGAATCTAACGACAATTAATTGCGACTCTCACGACCTGGCGCGATTATTCAAATCTCACCTAACTCTTCTCTAATGACCTAACACAAAACTAGTTCCTTTTTATTCATTATTACGCGAGACTAGGCCGAACTGATTGTCGTTCGGATAATTACTGAGGGTCTTTGGCGCTTCCCACGGATCGGATCTCCGGGATTTTCGGGGTTAAAAGACAAGTTACCGGCACTTGTTATTGCTCCACGATTAATTCCTTCTCAACTCGTTTCTCTCATCGAAAATCCCAAGGCAACCTGGCAATTCGTTGGAGACGATGGTTGCACTCGCTCCGAACGACCTTCCACCCAAAACGAAAAAAGTAACCAATTAACCCCTGAAAACCCAACGAAATTGCAGCGCCGGCATTTCAGCCGGACCTAATCGATTACCCGCAAGATTAACAATTGGGTGAACCCCATAAAAAGAACCGGATGACTATAATTTTGGCCCTTCTTCGCGATAATTTTTCTGGACCCTCAAAGACGCGTAATTACTAATCTTTANTCGCAAGATTAACAATAGGGTGAACCCCATAAAAATAACTGGATGACTCTATAATTTTGGCCCTTCTTCAAGATAATTTTGGCCCTCAAAGACGCGTAATTACTCATCTTTACTAATAAACGGAACCGATAACTCTAACCGGAAGTAAGCCACTCGGAAGTGGATAAGGGACTCTCACTCTCTCGCTTTAGGATCCTTACTCACGGATTTTAATTCAACGTTGTAGGAGTCTCGCTGTCTCGCTGTATCGCTTTTGGTGTTCCCAACGAATATCTTCCCATGTTCGTTACAACAATTACAGAGGCGCGGTCCGACGTCCCTCGGTCCGTTCTAGATTCCTCATTCCTTTTCCTTGTGCGTCAAGGAAAGCCACAAGGTTTTACCATTGTGTATTTTTTCAATTAAAATCATGAAAAATAAAAGAAAATGTTCTGTGATATCCGTCAAAAAATGTATTAATTAATTTCCTTTTAATTTTTGACGTCCGTCGAAAAATTCATTTCATTCATTTTTCTTTTTTTTAGATGAAATATTTTGAATTACCCAAATAAGATGAAACATTATTTTCGTTCCCAAGGAACAAATGCCTGTTGACTTAGGCCCAAGAGCCAGCTGCAGATAATAAATAAACGACAAACATTTTCAAAAAAGAATTTTCCTGGAAAATAAGGTCGTAAAATAAATAGACATGAGTCAGGCCTTGCTGTGCCGAATACACTTCAAGTACCTGCCTCAGTCTATCTCTCTCACCCAAGGCTCGCAGGCATCTACGTGACGATCCTGTCGGGACTTATTCTATATAAAAAAAATATGAGACTTTCCTTTTTTTTATCCGTACGTTGGGCCTGTTTCCTCCCCCGGGACCGGATAACAGCAGTAAAACCCAAAAATGCTTCAAAATGCAACAGAGTACATTTTCATTTTCACAAAAGTATTAAAAATATTTCTAAATAATTTAATTATTTTTCTTTGATTGAAATCAGGAAAGTAAAACAATCTCAGTGATATAAAAATCACTTCGATAAAGTTATCTAAACGTCTCTCGTTATCAAATCAATTTCAGTAAATATTATTCAATTGGGGGGGCGCTGTGCTGACGGCAAGCTGAGTGGACGTGTTTTGGTGTTGTCCGTTTTGTTATTCGTTTTTTGACGGACGCGGTGGGAGAGAGTGATGGTCATTGCTCTGATTAGGTGCCGAACACTTCTGGCTAAGTGCTGAAACATTAATTCAGGTGACTGATCCAATTTCTGGAGCCATTTCTCGTTATTTCTGTGGAGCATTTTTTGATTCGAGGTTAGGGGACTTGGACGATTTTTCCTTCAAACCAAGTTGACGTCGATGACACCTAGCGTCATCTCTGCGCCTAAACTGGTACTTGGACCCACGCCAGTACCGACAGCTGGCGCTCCAGGTCTCCCCTCTACTGACAATTGCTACTCGACTCTTCCTGCAGCAGTCGGCAAGTCAGAAACGCTGAAACGAGCTGCTGGAAGAAAAACCACTGCTGAAAACTGGGAAAATATCAAATCTCCTTCTACACCCACCCTAGGAGAACTTTTTGACAAAAACAAATCGGAAAAAAGGAAGAGGTGTGACCTTTATAAATCCACCGTGTCTCCTGATGCAGATAGGGTTTTAAAAAACCCTAGAGTACCTGCAAGTAGCTCACCATCAATCAGTGCTCCTTCCATTGTCACAGACTCTACTTCTCCTGACATCTCTCTGGAGAGCTTGTCCTTCTCTTCCGAATATCCACTTTCGTCTACTATTTTTCACAAAGACGAGAATCCCGAGATACCAGCCGAGATGCTGACCGCAGTGGAAAACGCAATTCTGAAAAAACTTGAAGAATTGGATGCTGACATGAAAAAAATTAGGGAAGACCTGTCTGAGCTCATTGTTGATACTGCTGCTAAGCAAGAGGAAAAGTTTGAGGAACTCAAAGGCGAAGTTAAAGAGGAGTTCGCCAAGGTTAAAGCCGATTTCGACCAAAAATACTCATCGCTAAGTGAGGCAGTAGCCAGGAACAAAACGCAGATGGTAAATGCTGCTCCTATTGATCAAGCCCAACTCGATTCGAAAATTCAGGTTGCAGCTTCAGCTAGAGTCAATGAAGCCAGTAGGCTCCATGTGTTCAGGAAGCTTTCCAATCTCTTTCCTCAAAATTTGATGAGAGAGTCGAGGTACTGGAGAAGGAGGCAAGGAAGAACAACATTGTTATCTCAGGATTCACTCCGGAATCTGGAAAAAATGTCAAGGGGGAGAAAGAATCGTTCCTCGCGAATTTTCTGGGCGTTATCACCACCTCTCGTTTAGCGAGGGTCATTTCCAACAAGGGGGGTAAGCCCTTGATCATGGTTGAGCTGGACTCCGTTGAAACTAAATCTGCGATCTTTGAGGCTAAGAAGAACCACCAACTCAAAGACGTCTACATAAACAGCGATCTGACTCCTGAAAGTAGACGCATCGCTAAATCCATCAGAGACATCGCCAAGATCCTGAAGCCGAAGAAACACACTGTCAAAGTCGGCTACAGATGTATGGATGTAGATGGTATCAAGTTCGTCTGGTACAAATCCTTGGACACCTTGGTGAAAGCAGGAAATGGCCCTTTGCTAACCATTCAAGCAGCCTTTCCTATCCTTTCTGCTGGTGTTTCTGGTCCTTCTAACACACAGGGCACGACGCCGAGTTTTCCCCTCCCCGGGGGCACCACTCTGGGTACCAAGTAAATCAACTTCTTGCTCCCATCTCACTTGGCAATCTGCGTGCTCCCAGGGGACTTAATATTATTTTTTGGAATATCAATAGTTTTTCGCACATCAATGACCTTCAGGACTTGAAACCATACTCCTACATCCCCCTACCACCACAGTCACCTTCCTGGACGATTATCACTGCTACTGGATAAACGCTACAAGAGATAAAGTCAGAGGACGAGGTAGTGGCGGTCTCTTGGTAGCCGTCAAGAAATACTTATTACCTGTAGTCTCTCTCCTAGATTGCACCCCTTGGTGGATCTCTCTGAAGCTTTCTGCATACGACGCCAACTTTATCCTAGGTCTAGTATACGTTCGGTCTGACAAATCTTTTGACGACCCTCACGCCATCTCCATGCTGCAAGATGCTGTTGAAAATCTGCTTCTCTCTGGAGAAGATGCACCACTGCTACTTGGAGGTGATTGGAATGCCTGGATGGGTTACGTCCCGGAGGCTGATGATTCCATCTTCGAAGGCTCAAGTATCAATTCGATAATGTCCACTCTTTATCCCAGAACCAACGGCAGATGTGCCCCAACGCTCGATCTTATGTCAACTTTAGGTATGACTATTTTAAACGGCAGAACCCTTAGTGATACCCCTGCCAACTTCACATTCTCAGGAAGAGGTGAATCCATTAATGACACGATCTGGTGTTCTTCGTCTGACGTCGAAATCATCCGAGACCTCAAAGTACTTTCCGATCTACATTCCTCCGACCACTTTCCCTTATCACTTGACCTTTGGGGCACTACCCTCTCTCCTCAGTCCTCTACAGACACAACATTCCAGACCAAATCCAAGATCTTCCCTACACCCCGAATCTCTCTTCTCCCCTATAATCTTCCTATCTTCCAGAGCTCCCTGTCCTCGATACAGCCTAATAAGTAATTCATCCATGAAGACACACTCCACGAGTACGATGAGTTCGCTGAAGCTGTCTGGGAAGGTGCGCGCCTTGCTGGTGCTATTATAACTCCTAAACCTTTCACCCCTGCCTCAGGATCGGTCACCAAGTAGCGCCGCAAACCTTGGTATGACGAGGAATGCTCTTCACTTAAAGAGGAGGTGTACGACGCTCTCAAGGCTTGCTTTTCATCGTGTTTTAATTCCATCGACAAAGCCATCTACACTGTACGAAGGAAGTCGTACAAACTTCTAGTTGATCGCAAGAAGAGTTTCTACGAAAAGCGAATTATCAATTCATTCGGCAACTTATCCAGCCCAAAAGACTTCTGGCTAGCTGTCAAGAGATTCAGACTAGTAGCTGGACCCAGGGACATGTGCCCCTCAATTGAAATTTGGAATGCCTTCTATAAAATCATCTATCCCCCAAGAACCTCGATCAGTATTCAACTAACCCAGCTCTCTGTACCTGAGTTGAATCGTGACATCACCCTCCTAGAGTTAACTGCCAGTTTGCGACGCCTCCGAAATGCCAAGTCACCCGGTCTAGATCGAGTAACCGGCTAACTAACGAGGCTCTCAAGGCTCTCACTTCACAGTGGAAGGAACACTTGCTTGCTATTTTTAACAGTATCCTTTCCCCAGAGCAAGTCCCCCACAGCTGGGTGGAAGTGGTACTAACAATGATATTTAAGAAGGGAGACCGTGACGATCCAGGAAATTATAGAGGCATTGCCCTCGTCAATACTGGCACTAAGCTTTTTAATGAGATCTTGAGGAAGAGACTGGAAAAATGGGCTGAAACTAACAACATCTTGCCGGAATCTCAACATGGTTTCAGACGAGGACGCAGCTGCACAGACGCCATCTTCTGTCTCCTATCTGCCATTCATCTTCAACTGAGGTTGCCGAAAAGAGAAGTCTACGCCATCTTCGTCAACTTTAAGAGAGCCTTCGACAGTATACCCCACACCAAGGTTTGGCAAACGCTCCAGGTCATCAGGGTAAGCTCGAAGATCACCAACATCTTGATCTCTCTCTACTCGCAGGCCCAGCTTCAAGTCCGTAGCTAGGGTGTCCTCTCTGAAGTCTTCCAGGTAACAGGGAGTTTTGCAGGGGGAAACGCTGAGTCCGCTCCTTTTTCTCTTGTTTGTTTCTGACGTCAAGGCCTTCTTCAGAGCAAAAGAGCATGTAGGTCTGAACATCGATGGCCGCACTGACATCCTGATGCAGCTCTTCGCTGATGACACTGTACTGCTTACAGACTCTCCCGTCAAGCTCAAGTCCCTCCTCAACATCCTGGCTGATTACTGTGCTGAAAATGGCCTGACAGTCAACGCCTCGAAAAGTAAAATTATGACGTTCAAGGCTGCCGGTCGACCCAAATACTTAGATACTCGTTTCACCATGTATGATGGCACACCTCTTGAAATGGTTTATTCATATGCGTACCTTGGAGTCCTCATCTCTGGCATAGCAAGATCTAATATCCCCATGAACGCGGCCTTTGGGAAAGCTCGTTCAGCCACGGCCAGCACACTGTCAATTATCTTTAGGTCTCACTGTGACAATTGGAGCTCATACTTGAAGCTGTTTGACAGTTCGGTATCCTCCACCCTCCTTTATGCTATCCCGGCCTGGGATATTCGATGCCTAGGTGAGATCGAGGTCAACACCCATTCTTATTCCTTCTCATTCACCAATGGTTCCCTGAAAAAGCTTCGCTACCAGACATCTACGAGTTGACTCGCCATAGCATTACTCCATTACGCGATGATCTTACCTGCCCTATATAAGCACCAGACTTGATCACTATTTGTCTCGTATACACTAATTTTCTATTGTTAGTTTCAGTTCTCTCTCCGTTTGTGCGGACCTCTGTTTTACCATATCCATTGATTTTCATCTCAGTTGAGTTTTTCTTTGCACCAGCCTTCCTCCGCCCACCATATCGAATGCCAGGCCTTTAATATTATCCGTCCACCCCCGTCGAGAGCCGCCATCAACACAAAATTTTTTTCAATTACATTGGATTTTACTATCTTAAATTTTAATCTGTTTTTTATGAATGACTTATATTTATTATCCACGTATTGTATTGTAACCCCCATGGTATTGGAGCAACCTAGGTCTGCAGAGAGCATTATTATCTCTCTATATAATAAAAAAATTCGCAAGTTTAAAAATTTTCGAGTCGCCTCCTTAAGGTCGGATCCAGGTCGTATCAAGGTCGCATCAAGGTCGCATCGAGGTCGCATCAAGGTCGCAACAAGTACGAATCAAGGTCGCATCAAGGTTGCATTGAAGTTGCATCAAGTTCGCATTGAGGTTGCATCCAAGTTGCATTGAGGTTGCATCCAGGTTGCATTGAGGTTGCATCCAAGTTGCATTGAGGTTGCATCCAGGTTGCATTGAGGTTGCATCCAGGTTGCATCGAGGTTGCACCCAGGTTGCATCCAGGTTGCATTGAAGTTGCATCCAGGTTGCATTGAGGTTGCATCCAGGTTGTACCGATATTGAGGGTAGTACCGACATATTTAGTAAGCACAAAGTTTTACTCAATTATCTTGAAAAAAAAGAAATCAACTTTTTCTATTTTGTAAAAAAAAAAAGTTTCTCCCCCCTCCCACATCCTACATGGGCATTCTTTTGCATGGGTACTTTCTCCACATGGGAGGGACTCATATTATGTATCCCCCATTCCCTCTGATTAATTCTGAGCGATGCCTATTTATTAAAGTTGTGGAATTAAGTAGAAATGATGGTCATTGTTCTTTTTTTTTTCATTCATTTTTCTGTTCACCGAGGCCAACTTCATCTTAAAGGAACTAATTAACGATTAAACTGTCAAATTCATCGTCGATGTTACTATTCTGCAAGATTCAGTGATTTCAGTGATATGTGTCCTGAATAAAATTGTCGAGTTATTACCAGTCGAGTTTCAGAGTAAGTAAAATTATTACTTTTCGTAATTTAGCCCCGTTAGGTAGCGTTACCGGGGCGTGATCGGCGGCTGGTAACTGCCAGATACAAGCCATGGCGCAAAACCGTCGTCCAGTCCCGATTTCGATGGTTAACAGACCATGGCCTGTAGTATTCGACGTGAAGTCAGCAGATTTTCCCCCTCCCCTCCCCGCCACACAGCAAACCAACGCGACTCAACACCATAGCACCCCTCAGCCATCTTAGATCGCAGCCCTCACCAGTGAAACGCCAAACTTGGACGTGAAAAGTGCGCAAATTTGTGAAAAAACTAATTATGAATGTTATAATCCCTGATAGCGATGAAGACGAATCACAAGACATGTTCGCTGACACGGATGAGAGTGATTCATACACTTGCAGTATGACAGCCCAAGGAGGTTCAGTTGGGTATCAAAACCTAACCAACAGTCAACCTCCTCTCAATGATGACTTGTCGATTCCACCAGATGTCTTGGAACATGCACGAGATGCTGAAAGATATCTCATACCACCAGGATCTAAACCGATCTACGACAGGGCATATAAAAAATTCCAAAACTTTCTGAAAGAGAAGAATATTAAAATGATCAACGAAGTTGTTATGATGGGGTATTTTCATATGCTAGCAAGACCACCCCACTCACTGGTGCCCAAATCTCTATGGTCAGTCTACTCAATGCTGAAGTGCACCCTATCTGTTTATCATTCGGTTCAGATCGACAAATTTCCAAAGTTGATACTCTTCTTGAGTAGAAATCAAAAGTCGTCCGATCACATCATCAAAAAAGCTAAAACCTTCACAGATCAGGAAATAGCCGAATTCATTTTCACAGCATCTGACAAAGTCTATCTACCACAAAAGGTAAATACAATATTACTATGATGAATTTTCTGAAAATGAATAACCTAAAAAAAACCTATAAAAATTCCTCGCTTCACTTTTCAAAATTTTTAAAATCAAAACTGATATAATTTTCAATCAAAATCTCCTACAAAGTGGTCCTGAAAGTTTTAAATAAAATTTCCAGAGAGAAATATTCCTCGATATAATCCACTAAAATTCCGGAATTTTTTCGATAATTAATGAATTGATTGGAAAAAATAGTTGATAACAAAAAAAAATTAATTCATTGTATTATTTTCAGGTGGCCTTGATCATTGGCATTCATGGCTTATGTAGGAGAAAAGAGTTGCACGACTTAACAATTGATCTCATCCAAGACCTTGGGAGAGGTCTTCATTTCCATCTGCAAAAAACCAAATACAAAAAATATCGAGATTTCACTTTGATAGGAGAATTTTGCGATATTGTTAGGAAGTATTTAAGACTACGACCAGCTGATTTTGATAAGAAAAATCTCTTCCTGCGTTACGCGAATGGAGTTTGCTATCGTCAAGTAATGGGTATTCACATAATTGGATGCATACCCAAGACAGTTGCAACCTTCTTGCAACTCCAAAACCCTGAACTCTACACTGGCCATGCCTTTAGACGCACAGGAGCAACTGTTGCCGCTGAAGCAGGTGTCGATTTTCTTTCACTCAAATGACTGGGAGGTTGGGAATCATCCAAAACAGCCCAAGGGTATGTTGATACCACTGAGGTTCAAAAAAATAAAATCTCCTCGAGAATCAGCAAAGCTATCCTTACCAAAAGGCCATCTACTTCCAATGTGACAAAAGCACCTCAATCGAATCCAGCAACTCTCCCACGATTCAACACTCCAACGCTATCAACTTCGAAAGAAGAAGCACTACCCCCAGCAAAGAGTTTGAAGGTCACTGATGAATTTGATTCCAGAAGTTCAGCTCATTATGGAGAGAGAGTACTGGAAGAGAATCCTCATGTGCTGAACAGATCTCATGCTAACAAGAATATCCATCTCCATTTTACAAACTGCAGTAATTTTAATATCTTTGGTCCACGCAAGGACGAAAACTCTCCATGAAACATGAGGATTTCCCAGATCTCTCATTCAAAAATTTCATTTTCTTAATTTCATATTTTTCTAAAATTTCTTTCTCATTATTTAGTATATTCTTTGAACCAAAATTAACAGACTTTACTTTAGTCGACTTGTTATTCTTCGAAGACATCGTTTACGTTTTTTTTTTATTATTTTATTCCTCACGTTGAAAAAATCGAAGAATATTCGATTGTATGATTATGAATCAGAACTATATTAATGGATAAAACTTTATAGCTGAAGGAGAACTGAAGTGGCATCAAATAGTAGGATAAAAAAATGTCACGCACTGCCAAATGTTAATGTTCTTCTTTTTTCGTTCATTGAGATAAATAATAAAAAATACAAAACCAACTTCGGTTGAATTCTTTCCATTAATAAATCCTCTGATATTTCGTAACATTGTGCTGCTAAAGACTAAAACAAATTTTAAAATCTACTTTTTTGCCCTCTGATCATTTGGTTTTTCAACAGTGGGGGGGCTTGGCCCCCCCCCAACCGGGGCCTGCGGCCCCTGGACCCCGCTCCCCTCGCCCCCCTCTCCCCGCCGTCAACGAGGCTGCATTACGAAAAATGGTGTGTGCCACTCGGCCCGTGGCGTCGGTTTGCGATTCGTATGAGTTAGCAGCACGAGGCGTCGGTAAGTATAGGACTCGGCCCGCCTTCGGCGGGCCTCGTCCCTACCTTACCGACGCCTCGTGCTGCTAACTTCGCACTCATCGCAAACCTTCGCCTACGGGCCTTGTGACACAATATACCAATTCACTCTTTAGACGAGGAAATTTTGTAATTCGATGAATCATTTTATTGGGGGTAGTGAATTGAATGAGCGAAGTGAAAGTGAGTGAAAATCAAATCATTGTGGAGTTAACGGGGATTCACTTAATGTGGATAAACGGAATTGTCTTATTAAAGTTAACGCTTCAATCTTTCAGGTGGGTCCTCCAGTTATTTTTCGGGGCAACAACCTAAATCCCTTTGTTCTGACAACGAGACAACGAGAATCATTGTGG